TACACGCAAGTGCAGAAGGGTGTTCGGAGTTCCGAGCTCCGTCGAAGATCAGGATTGCAGTTGCTTACGCCAAGAAATCGAAGGTCAGCTGGGCCGGGCACATTATGGACATCACACGAACTCCAATACGGCCGCCAACGAGATGGCCAGACTTCTTCACGAAAGCTCTGAACGAAAGGAATGCTGGACCTCGTGTCCCTGAAGCGATGACGATTCACTGGACCACTCTAGCTCGTGACAGTGACGAAAGAAGATGTTACTGGCGCTCGCTCGAGGAAATCGATGATCATCGGGACGACAGGTGATACAGGTGATTTCGGAGCTATTCTACCATTTCATATAGATGCACCGATCAAAGTGTGCGTAACTAACCTTGTCCGCGCGATAAGCAACTAATCGGGATGCTGCTCAGTAGGGGATAGACGACAATGTCAAGTGGCCCGAACCGTCGTACCCACGTTCAACAATTTTAGGAATACGGTGGCAATTCACTTCAGCAATTCGGAGCAAAAATTAGCCTCCCCTTGCTGTTTGCCGGTAATATCACGCATGGGTTGGGCAATAGTGATGATTTACGAGGGAAACATCGAGGGAACAAAACTTTAAGGCTGAAGAGTACTGTAGGGGCGAAACACAAAAGCACAGACGACACCACAAATCGAAACACTTCTCACACCTTTTCAATATTAGCACTGAGCTGATGTCAGCGCCACTTCATAAAACGCTTGACATGCTCAACAGAGTATTCTTAAGGTAGTGGGTGTTTTCAACGAAGTTCACTTCGCTATCGTATCTTTATTAAGGCGCTTCCCGTTGAGACGATACTACATGTTGCCTCTATTAGAGCGAAAGGTTCCTATAAGGTAAGCCGCAAGACGACTCACCCGCCAATTAATTACATCACTTAGGAGGAAGGAAACGTTGGCACTCGACGAGTACATGTTGATAGGAGGAGGAAATAGTTGAGCCGACTCTTTAGATTTGGAATCGATGGAAGTTCAGCTTCGATTGAGTGACCACTTTCTTTGATTTTTTGCGCACTCTAATACAAAAAGGAATGCTTCCAATTTTAAGGTACCCAGGATACGTCTACACAGGTGTGATCGTTAAGGACACTTGTTGAGTGTTTTTCGCCTCTCTATTCTAAAGCTGAATCTGTCGAGCTTATGAGGAAGTGATCAAGCGAGCATTATCCAATCGACCTTTCGTAAAACTGTTGCCAACTGATTCTGCCAACTATTGTAGTTTTTTGACGGTAGGAAAATGCAGGAGATCCACAGGAATGCTCAATCCCTTGCCATATTTGTCAACATTAAGATCAATTTGAGATTGGGATTGCGGACCAAATTCGAACTTATGGTTTCCTTTTAAGGTGAACCCTAACCTAACCCTTAAGGTGAGGTGTCAATCTGATATATAATGACTGCGTGTTGCAGAAAGAACAGTGTCAAAATTCTACTCGTTACTATTGTACTAATGGAAGCATCGATAGGAATTGATCCCTGCAGTCCATGGGTGGTAAACTTCAGGACCAGGAAATGTTACAGGGTTTGTTGTGTTCTAACTAATCGTTTTTGAAAAGTCAAAAGGCTCTATCTGTTGTACGAACCATTTAATGGTTCTGTTAAGGAGGGTTACTGAGGTGGCGTCCCCGTAATCGACCCTTCTTGCTTTTTGTTTTTTAGACACCCCAAGGGGAATCACGGTACTAAGACAGAAAGTCTTCAGATCCATGTGAGGCTCTTACCTGATTTTTTTCGAGTGAGATCCATTTTTCATCTTCCCCATGCCTATTTAACTTTCCGGCTTTCTGATAAGCATTTACGAAGGAGAGAAATCAGAGGAAAAATAGGGAGTAAAGAGGAGTTGGTCGAATAAAACGACGGACTCGAACCTTCACCAGCTCCTGCCATCCACACTATGACTTGAGAAGGCGTGAAGAATTCTAACTTATACTGGGCGAGGCCGAACACGCCTAACTTTTCTGCTTCGCCAAACCGGTACGCTACTGCAGAATCGCTCTGACCGGTCACAAAGTCAGCTCCGGCTGACGCATGATAGTGAAGAGAGTATTGTTAGAACTGTGCATCCGGGCATAAAATTCAATCTTTCATTCTTCCATTTGGACCTTGGGACCATGTCACGTATGTCTTCTTGTCCTACGACCGTCAACACCGTCTCATTTCCCCTTAATGTTGTTCGATTCGGTTCTGGTTAAATCGCAGAGGGCTACTCACTTGGTAGAGATCTTCTAAGTTTCTGAGAGAAGTCGCGGCCTAGGGTGTTTGAAGCTCGACAGGCTAAGCACAGACCAAGGGCTTCAAGTTGCTTTCGGACCCTTGAAGACGATTTTTTTAAAGCATCGGCCAATCAAAGGGTTCCACCGTGGATGGCGCCTTAACGAAAGCAGCACAAGGCATGCTGTAACATGCTCAGATTCCGTCGAGATCGAATGTGGGAGTTATGACGAAGCGACTCCTGGCAAAATGCTAGCGATATTCAGATAAACCTCTTTTGCAGGTATTCTGCGAACGTAAAACTCAACCGGAAGCTGAAGCAATCTGCCAGAAATTCAATGGTCATCTCGCAACGATTTGCCATTACAAGGTTAACAAGTTTCATGGAAGTATGTCTACATTTCAGATTGTTTCCCTAAGTAAAATAACATGACTTAACAATTCCCTTGACGTTCTTGATTACGTTCTGGGTATGCATTCCGAGTTTACCTCGAACTGTAGGGAGGTTTGGATGTCTGTCCGGTCTTTACTATCACTATGCAGAACCTTGCAGAAGCATGCCGATGAGAAACTTAGCGCTTAGTCAACAGTTTACTAACCATTTGACCCATTACATGAGGATGGAAGATCGATTCTCTGACCATAAGTGTGGTGGCGGTGTTACCTAACAGGGCGACGGGTTCAAGTTCCTCTGGAACAACGTTGAATGGAGACCTACGTATGCTTTGGAATGCTTAACCGTTGATTATTCCCCAATTATGTTCTCGTTCCTTAGGCAACACTAGAGATACCAAGCTTGTGAAAAAAATCGTTGACTTGTGTTTTTGCAACTCCACGTGGGGTGTCGTATGAACAAAAGGCGTGTTCAAAGTACTAATGCTCAGGCACTATTTACCCTTTACTGCCCCACCTTGTCGAGAATGGGCTGGATTTCTACCGAATTTTTTCAAAGAAGATGAAACCGGCTAGAAACTTGCCTACAGGGGTAATTTGATCCGTAGAACACGAATATTGTACCCATTTGTCATAGAGATGCCTAGCGCTTGCGCTACAGGCGCCTGCGCCAAATCGCTGGGTCACCGCTCCTGCTGAAAACTTGCCCCTAATTAGTGTCCCGGGCGTTTTCATGATGAGTGGATGCGATATTCATGTTCTACGGGTCAAATTACCCCTCTAGGCAAGTTTCTAGCCGGTTTCATTTTCTTTGAAAAAATTCGATAGAAATCCAGCTCTTTCTCGACAGAGTGGGACAGTAAAGGGTAAATAGTGCCAAAAAATCATATCAGTGCGAAATGCTGAGCTTCTCTACTCATGCTTTTGTTATGTTTCCATCAAATAAATAAATATTTGAGATAGTTAAGGCTTCTAAGTAGTATAGAGAGCTGGTTATGCGACGTTTGCAGCCATGGCCTTTGTGTACCATAAAGGAGAAATGATGAGACATGAACGTCGTGTATGGATCGGACTTAATTGGAAACAAAGAGCTCAGTGGAAGTGGATTTGGGAAAGTGGTTCAACGTGTTCCTGGAGGTCGTGGTGGTCATCTCAACTGACTCCTGACAATTGCCCTGGAACAGGAAATCCGGAAGAATGCGTTCACGTAGGCTACCCAATAATCAGTTCAGCATATGGGAGTTTCAAAGAACAGTTGATTACAGCTTTTATCCTATGAACCGAACGCATGGGACGAGTGAAACGATCTGGACTGCAACGAAAGAGAAGATTTTATCTGTGAAACCGACGACTGCACTCAACTGTAGCACTCGTGCACGTATTTTGTTTGGAAGCCTTGATATGCATATTTTGGCCACCAGACTGTGATGGCACCGAAATAAAAAGGTGTTTTTGAAACAGTTTTGAGGCAGAAACGGAACAAACTTAAAAAGAGTAATGGTTTTGCGGATGTCCTACGCAAATGCACAATCATACAAAGTCATGTTACAAAAATTTGTTTATTAGCAGAGTTATTGCATCACAATTTGTTCATGCTGTCCCATATCTCCTGTTTGCGTTGTAAATAGTAAGACCAGTAAATAATCTGAAAATATACTCATAAGCTGCAGTAGCATTACTGTAACTTCTGAGAAAAAGTAAAAGTTGAAAAGGAGCTCCACCTTCAAGGTAGAAACAGTAAATCACAACTTCAACTTCCCAAGATGAACTCACATTGAAAACAAAGAAGCTGATCGGAAACATTATGCTTGATAAGGAATCGATCTTTTCTGGTGGCCATGGTACTGCAGTCTGAATGAATGAAGTACTAGGAAAATGCTCGGTTTTTTAATTCTACACCAAATCAGACCGAATAAATTGATTGGCCCCTCTATTGGCCTGTCGACAATATTTCTGATGTTTGGATCACCTAAGGGCGGTCTTTGTCTTAGGAGTCCAAAACGGATCAAGGGACTAAAAACCCACTCAATCACACGGTGGAGCAGCAAGGTTGGCAATAAGGGAGGGGGAATGGGGAGCGGTTGTTGGAGCATGTTGAGGTGACTGTAAACAATGCTGTATTGAACGCGTCCATACTCCGTGACGGTCAGTGGCTGACGGACGACTGAGGCTGACGACGGCGTCGTTGTCGTTGTGTCACGAGAGAGGTAGACCGTACGGCTCATGCCGAAATTTAGCTCATTCAAGTCACTCAATGTCGTTGTTCTACTTTGCTCTTGTTCGTATGGCGACTGCTTACCTCTTTTACAAAGCGTTAAAAGGCTAAAAGCTGTAGAAAACCGCGGATATGACAATTTTCGAATATATCACGGACTTCGTAAGCCAAATATTGCTTTTGAGCCAAAAAATTTTCTTAATAGTACCTTAGTAACCGATCGGCTATTGTTGCAGCCAGGAGGAAACATGAAACGCTTCTCGTACAACGACGTGCCCCGAGGAGAGCCATCGACCAACGGCTAAAACCGTAAACCGTTGCCAAAATGTATTATTGAATAGAAAACTAAAACTTAAAAATGGTTGTATTTGAAAAAAATAACTAAAACAAATATATTACAAACGTAACAATGACGATGTACAAAAATGAAGCTCCAAAGGTGAGCGTAAAGCGTCCGTGTGATTCGCCTGAAAGGTGAATTTTGCGCCCGCAGTCATCCAGTGACGCATTCTGATGATCCAAGCAAGTCTTTCACAAAATTATAGTACCTACATGGCTCACCACATAAATACTTCAGATTCATTTAACTTTCAAAGTTTTAAAGCACAAAAGAAAAACTTTTTCAGGCGCTGATTGGTCT